AAAAAGAAACTATCCAGATGACCTGACTGAAAATTGTTGGATTGTATACCTGGATTATTGAGCATGCATCAAGATATACCTGGATTATGGAGCATGGATTTTGTTCATTCCCACTTTCATCCACTTGGTGGCGGTGGTGCACCTCTTACGTCTGCCCCTTTGAGCAGTGGCGAAGAAGAAGAAGCAAAAATCGAAGAAGAAGAAACAAAAAAAGAACAAGTCGAAGCAAAAACAGTGGACGAGTACAACTTATATTTGTTACATTTGAAAGTGTCTCCACTCCCAGGACAACAGTTTGCTTCATTAATCTTCGTGTGTTTCAACCATGGAGAAGACGTTCAGCCGGTGGAAGAAACAGTGTCTGAACAAGCTGGACCAGAGCAAGAAAGGCAGTGTGGATGAAGATGTTCAACCTCTTGTGTCTCTGCTCAGCAGCTGTGAGGAGTTCTTCACCACCAGCTCCTGCTCCGGAAGGATCATCCTCATCGACGGGGTCAGAGAGGCCTTTTCTGTTCTTATAACCCCTGAACTACATTACTGTTCATGAAGTCAAAATCAGCCACTCTTTTCTCTAAATTCTGCTTCCAGTAGTTTCTGAAGACTTGAACCCTTAAACAGGTGCATCTAAAATTAGAATATCATGGAAAAGTTCATTTTTGTCAGTCACTTCAGAAAGTGAAACTCGTATATTTTATCAATTCATTACACAGAGAGTGAAATATGTCATGCTTTTGTCATTTTGATAATTTTTGCTTACATATAATGAAAACCCAAAACTCAGTGTCTCAGAATATTAGAATATTGTGATAAAGTTCCATGTTTGAAACTCATGCACAGATGAATCCTGGACATGAGCTACAAATGTCTCATTCCTCAAGTCCAGCCACTCCTGAACCAGAGACAAAATAAGAAGTGTCTTACCTGCTGAGGAGACAAAGAACTGGACTGATGCTCAGTGGTCCAACATCCTGCTTTCAGATAAAAGTATGTTTTACATGTTGTTTAGAAATCAAGGTGCCAGAGTCTGAAGGAAGAGAGGAAAGGTCCAGAATCCACGTTGCTTGAAGTCCAGAGTGACGTTTCCACAGTCAGTGATGGTTTGGGTCCATGTCCTCTGCTGGTGTTGGTCCACTGGGTTTTCTGAAGTCCAGTCAACACAGCATCTACCAGGACATTTTAGAGACTTCCTGCTTCCTTCTGCTGAAGAGCTTTATGGAGATGCTGAGTTCATTTTCCATCAGGTCTCTGCACCTTCCCACACTGACAAAGGCAACAAAAGCTGGCTGTAATATTCAAAGTTTATGAGACACTGAGTTTTGGTTTTTCATTATTTCTAAGCCATAATCATCAACATTTTCTGAAATGTCTGACAGAAAAATGCACAATATGCAGTGTTTCCCCTATTATTATCAAAACTTAAGGATTTATGAACGCTGAAAAGAATTGTCAGTTTTTTTTTGTTTTTTTTTTTCCATTGCAGGAAAAGCATACATGTGTGAATAGAAACAAACAGAGTGGGAGTTGTCAGTAATCATTGACTGACCTCCCAGGAGCTCAGACATCAAGCAGTCAACACTATCCTGACTCTCTGTTTACACACTAACTATTACCTGCTTTATAAGAAACATGAAGAAACGAGTGGCTCCAGACTTTTGCACAGGAAGTTCTTTTCAGGATTCTTTTAACATGAGATGATCATCAACACAGCCCACGTAGTGTACTGTGTAACATACCAGTTCCTTCGCTCTGCAGGCTCCAGACAGCTGTGAAGTCCAAAAACAAAACTGCGTCTGGCTGTTCGTCTCTCACCACAAGTGCACCTTCGAAGATCTGGTGAGACAGAGTGGTTTTTAATTGTCGCTCACGTAAACCAGTTCGATGCGTGCAGGGCTGACTGCAAGTGTCATGACACGTTTGGATGTTTTCCAGATGTCTGGCCTGAGCAGGTCCAGCGGGGACGCGGTGTTGAAGTTTGAGCCCGCTGTGCTTCACGTTCAGTGCCGGAGGCTGGAAGACGCTCAGCTGCTGGTGAGAGGGACACGCAGAGTGTTGCAGGGTTGGTGTATGTGACCGAGTCAGTCATTCTATGTTTTTAAAAGCTTATTTAGTCGAGTTCAGTCTGACGCAGAACAAGCAACTTCATAATGAAGACATCTTGAATTATGTCTTTCGGCATCTTGTTTCAGGGACACTGAACCTGTGGCTGAATCAAATAATAAAGTCGCACAGCTTGACAAACTTTATCCATTTTTTACCAGTTAAATAATTCACAAAGAGCTTTTTTGGGGGGATCAACTAAAAGACGATGCATCATTCGTCAAACCTATTTTTATTTATTAAGAAAACGTCTGCAATTGAATTCTTTAAAGCTGCCTCCTACATGTTTTGTCCTGTAGTTTCTTGTTAACTCCGTTGGTAAATGGCACTCACCAAACATGCCAAAGGTTCTGCTGAAAGACCTCTGAGAGTCACCTTATTGGTACAAAATCATTTGTTTAACAACATTTATTCATCAAATACAACTTGATGCAACTGACGTCTTTGGCTTTTTTTTCTCAAAATGAGTAATAAAAACAGCTTATAGGTGCCATTTAGAGAAATATTGCTCTAAATCCCTGTAGATTACTGAAAAGTGTGGCTCAATGGAGGCAAAATTTCGTAGAATAAGATTTGGTCCAATAGTTTTTCCACTACTATTAATGACTATATTATAAAGTGGTTTATCAGAAGCACAAATCCAAGTGATATTAACCAGTGTGGCTGTAACATGTTTCTTCTGCAGCACTCGGTGGCCATCAACTCAGGCTTTAAGAACTCTGGACTCACTGTTGGCAAGACTGGAAAGATCATCTCGGTATGTTAAATCAATAGGAGGCAGGTTTTCTGCCATTGATTCACTAACAAGATTGAAATATCAAAATATGCTGCATTTCTTAGATCTAACTTATGTTATTATTGTGTAACGGCTTCTTTAATTTGGAATGTCTTTATTGTAATATTTTGTTTTGTAAAACTTTCGATTAGTTGTTCTTTAATGGTTTGCACTCCATCAGCGTCAAATGTCAATTTGTGTTTCATGTAAAAAAGATTAAGTTCAATTTGTAATGATTACACATCCAAAATATGTTGGTTTAAAGCAGGTCTTACAACATTATGGATTCAACCCAATATAAAGAGCGACACGTGACATCATTTATTATGTCAGTGTTGTTTTGTTTTTACTGAAACTAAAATGTAATTTCAGTATGAAAACCCAAGTTCTTGCAGGAAATAAGTTACAGCAGTCGAATTCTGTGTGTTGATTTCTGCTCAGCACACGTATGAGCACATTTCTAATAGCAACATGTCATTTTCAAATTGTTTTGCTTTCAAGATTAACGAACATTTACAACTCACATTTGTAATGTTTGCCAGCAAGTAATCTCTGAGAGCAGACTGTGTGAAGTTCAGAGAACTTGCAACCAAAAAAAACCGAGCATCATCTCAGACCCTGCAGGCCTCATTCAGCAGGTTTGATGAAAAGAAAAAAAGACTGTAATTTCTGGACTATTGAGCGCACCTGAATACGAGAGCTGTGCAGAAACAGCCATCCATCATCTTTTACCCGCTTCTTCCATTTTTGGGTCACAGGGTCACTGGTGTCCATGTCCAGCAGTCACTGTGTGAGGGGCGGGGGACACCCTGGACATGTCTCCAGTCCATCACAGGGACACATGGAGACAAACGAGACAACCATTCACTCTCACACCTAGAGACAATTTAGAGTTATCAATCAGTCTAACATGCATCTTTTGGTCTGTGGGAGGAAACCGGAGTACCCGGAGAAAACCCATGCAACACGGAGAGAACATGCAAACTCCACCCAGAAAGGCCCCCGGACCGGGATTTGAACCGGGGACCTGCTCACTAAGAAGCAGCATTTCTACCAGTTGCACCATCATGCTGCCCTGTGCAGAACCAAATGTCTGCAAACCTCAATGAACTAAAGCGACGTTATAAAAAGGAGCAGATCAGATTTTCTCCTTAATGGTGTGAGAAAGTGAAATGGTTGATCGCTTCAAGTTTTTGCTGCTGAAGGGAATATGTTGTTCATCCAGTGGTGTATGTTAAAACCCATCTATAAATACTTTTTACAACAATGTGCTCATGTGCAAAATATGTTCAGAGTCATGTAACGTCTCAGTTAAACACAACTTGATTATGTACTTCCTGTATTTATAATCATCCATGTTTCAGGTCGTCTTTGGACAAGACATTTTTAACTTAATGTGTTTAATTGTCAGTTCCTGTTAGATGTCCTGCGTTAAAGTCAGTATCAGTTTGACATCGTTTCTTATTCAGGAGACAACATCTCCGCTCTGTTTGGTTCCTCCAGGCTGTCCGGAGCACCCATGGTCTGGAGGTTCCTCTGAGCCACTATGGAAAGGTTCTCGTTGATCCCGACTACATCCACTTTTTGACACAAGTAGCCAATCAGAAGATGGATGAGAACCTCAGGAAAATACACAGGTCAGTCTGAGCTGAGCATCATTCAATACATAAAATGCTCTCACATCAGTTTAAGTCCAAACTGTGTCCTGTCCAGGTTCTATCAGAACCTCCAGTCAGCCTTGTCAGCGGCGAGACCTTCCCCCTCAGACTGGTCCAGCTCACAAGAAATACAAAAGCCCCAACACGTGAAGGACGGAGGAGGAAGAGGGGGAAAAGGAGGAGAGGAACAAAGCAGATGTGTATCAACGGAGGAAGAGGAGACGGCGTGAACGTGACGGTTACCATGGTGACAGTAACAGCAGTCCCCCCATCAACTTGTGACTCTGCACACATCGTGGACTTAAATTAGGAGTTAACAAAAAACTGAGCGCAGACTGTTCAGTTTCTCGGTGAAGAAGGAGAGACAGAGAAAATCTCCACGGCAACTAATTCCACTTTGCATTTTCAAGGACATTTTCCAAACTTGTCGTCGAGCTACCTGCTGAGCTGTCAGAGCTTTAAAAGGTGAACCTTTTATCTACGTAAATGTTGTTCTTGAATATCTTGTTATAAATAAAACTTTTATTGTTTTCATGTTTCTTTTTGTTTTTGTTAAAATCAGTGTTGACTTGTATATAAATGTATTTCTTCAGCTAGAAGATTTCCACTGATCCATTCTGTCTCAGTGCGGTGGAAAATATTTTATTTATATATTGTCATTAAGTAGGGTGGAACAGTGGCTCGACTGGTAGAGCTGTCACCTCCCAGTGAGAAGGTCGTGGAATCAAATCCCAGTCGGGGCCTTTCTGGGTGGAGTTTGCATGATCTCTCTGTGCATGCGTGGGTTTCCTCTGGGTACTCAAATATGCATGCTGTGGTTTTCTGGAAGTTTTTGTTAGGAGCAGCAAAAAGTTTTAGACTATAAATTAAAAATTAATATTAAATGCACGTTTTGAGGCACCATTAAAATTATACACTCAGTGCCTTTAGGTCCCTCACTAACGTAAAAAATGATTGGGAAAATATATATTTTTTAACATATATTATTTTTACTGCAAATCCTTTCAAGAGTTGCAGACCTTATAGACATGATATTTTTTTGGTATAAATTAAAATTATTGTGCTTGTGGTCTAAAGAGCCAACTATTTTTTTGAATGGGGAAAACCAAAATTTATGCAAATTTATCTAAAATAAAATGCAAAGTAAAAATGGTATGAGGTTGTTACAGCCGTCATTAGGTCAACAACTGATAATGTTAATTTTGATGCATTATTTTTGGAGCAGAGACCTTTTCCATAAAGTTACACTAAATACTTAAAAACAGTCTAACACAATAAACATGTAATAAACACATTTTTTTTCCCACCACATCTGATCATTTCAACAACTTCAAAACTATATGTATGAAGTTTCCATAATTTGTTAAAAATTATTCATGCATGTGGTAGACTGAGCAGTGGTCACCTTATAAGATGAAGAACCAGTTCTCCACTGAAACACAAGCACAGCTGTCTCTGGGGGGTAAGGGTGCTCATCACAACTAAAATATGTTTTCCCTTTAGTTTGAAAGTAGAAGCTTAGATTTATTGGGTATAAATTCAAAAAAGCATTACATAATGTCAGGGTTGCAATAAATAAAAAAAATAAAAAAAGATTATAACGGGCCCAACGGTGCAGTATGTGCGTTGTGCAGATCTCCTATTTGACACATGCTGCAACAAAGATGATCATGTAATTTCAAAAATAACAATAAAAGACTAATCCTGGACAAGTTTCGTGCGATTAGTGTTTAAACTGACTGTAATATTTAAAATCAAATATAGCAAATAAGCTGAATGTACCGGTTAGGTTCTCCAAGTTGCCTTACGGGTTAAGATTAAGGTTTATATTGATTGTATATATGCGCTTGGAATAAAAATTGTATGCAAAATGTGTGAATGTTTAGTTTATCTACAAAATCATTGCTTTTTGTACATTGCTTTTTGTGTATGCCTGTTTTTTTGTTTTTTTTTTTAACTGTTTTTCTTCTTCATGTTCTTTGTTCTGAGCCGGCGCTGAATGGTGCACAGGAGAGGTTTAAATAAGGCAGAGGTGGAGGGGGTGATTGCTGGAGAGACAGACTGAGGAGAGGATGAAGAATGGCAGGGGACACAGAGTCAAACACAAGGAGCAGGAGGGGAAATGCAAAGAGAACAAACAAAAACAGATGATGTCATGCTCAGGATGGGAGACTGCATTGGAGCGAAGATTCAACACAATCTGCTGGCTTCCTTAGATGGAGAACTTTTACTTTTTTAATGTGTGTGAGTGTTTCTGTTCAGTGCCCTGAGACGACTTTTATTGTGACTTGGTGCTTTATAAATAAACTGAATTGAATTGAATTGGACTTAAATGGTCAAAAATGGTTAGTGTGTGAGTGTGCTGCTTTCTGTGTTAGGACTGTTATGAGTGTAGTGAACCTGATCTGACCCCAAATCTTGATCAGATGAACAGAGACTGTTATTTCATTGATCTGCATCCAGAAATACAGTTTGAGCCATCTGGTGACTTTCTTTCTTGAATTAATCAAGCAGAAAAGACAATTCTCTATGATCATTACTATTTTACAAATGTTTGATAATCAAATTGTGTTAGCTCACTCAATGCTTACAGGTTGAAGAGAACTACTCATTTTTATTTTACATAAACAGTAAGTAATGATTTTTATTCCGCATTCAAAGAAGAAATCAGGTTAATATGCATTTCTTGATTTTTCTGTCTGCAATGTAAGTATGTTAAAGGTCGGTTCTCGGTCAACTAAAATGTTTACTGAGAAGAAATGTCATGTTTTAACTTTTTCAGAAGATAATAAGAGGGAGACTCCACGAAGTCTGGTTCTCTGCAATAATCTTTCTGTCTGTTGTTAAACAATCTCATTCTCTGACCTCGAATTTGATAACATCTTACATCACAAACCACACCTCTATTTCTGGTCCATCGACCAATCAAAAAGCTCTCAAATGACCCGGAAGTCGACCCATTTAAAATGTGGCAACTTCCCAGTTCAACAGAGGCTGAGACGCTGAGTTGCTGGAGTTGTGGAGTTGCTGGAGTTTGTTGGTTGCTGTGTTGCTGCACTCAGAAATGAGTTCAACTAGAGAGTGCACAGAGTGATGGAGTTAGAGTTCTTGGATGCAAACGCGTTCAGGATGATCCAGAGACGTTTTGGGATTATAACTTCTGTTTGAACAACCTCGTACGACTCTCGAAGGATTTCAGCTGCTCTCAAAGGAGACGCTGAAAGAGTCTGAAGGATTCTATACCGAGCTGATTTATCGTCAACCAGGTAACGATCTACTTCAACCAAGCATACCGTCGCAAGCTGAGATCTGATGGGAGCGTGCACGTTTCTGGTCAAACAGATTAATTCCCTCACAAATCTCTCTGTAAGATAAATCTCCATTTCCATCTTAAACTCTGCTTTCTCTTAAAGTCAGTACAGATATTTTAGAAATATCTGAAGCAAAATCCTCAATCACCGCCGTGTGATTGAAGTCTATTATTTGTGAAACTTGTCTGTTATTATTTTCATATTTTGCCAAATTAATGTAAATGTTTGATGTTAACTTTGATTCTGAAAATAAATGACCGCATTCATTTTGATGGGTCAAAGATAAATAACGTCTCTCGTTACATTTCTGTTGAAATTCAATGCACGACATTTACACAGTCAGAAAGATGAGGAACTCGTGAAAAGTATGAATATATATCCTATATGACATACTACATGAGCTGATAATCTCTTCAGAATCTTCTCTCTTCTGTAAGATGAGTTTGTGTTCAGCAGGCTGTAAGCAGCTCTTCAGAGGTTGTTCAGTGAATCAGAATGAATTCCACTAAGCAGCACATATGTGATGGCTTGCAGTCACAGGAGCAAAAGGACGGGGTTTCTTCTCACGGCGTCACAAGAAGAGGCTGACTTTATTCATGTCGAAAAGGCGTCTTCACTTCAGTGGGATTTGGTGTGGATGGAGGATCTGAATTATAAACTGATACATGGGTGAATTATAAGCAGTAGCTGACTCAACAGTACCAGGACTTTGAAGAACTGTGGGTTTTTTTTTCCCCCCAACACCTTTTTGATTTATTTCCAGCTGCTGACGGCCGACCATGCTGTACTTTCAGGTGGTGATTCTGGCAGCGATGTTCATGCTCGTTTACCACTGTGAGTTCACGGACACGTTCAGTCCAGCAGAGCAGGGCTTCATTTGCAATAGCCCAGCTTTGAGTAAACCTGACCCTGGACCTGAACAGGACAGCCGAGTGCAGCCTGTAATTCTGTACTGCGTGGTGAGCGGAATGCCTGTCGTACTCGTAAGTTAGCACAAGTGACTACTTACTACAGTACAATCCCACAGTACCAGTATCACCATGATACATTATTTTGTGCTATTCACTAAAATAATTTTAATACTAAAAGGATATAGTATAAAACTATAAATATAAACTGCCAGTGAAATGTCTTTGGGCATCTTGTAGTTTCATTATATTTATGTATGTTTATGTTTCTATATTATGTCTTTTTCATTGGTTACTGTCTCACATCAGCTGGACTTTTGGTTTTGGTTCTTTAAGACGTTTTTAGTTGTATTGTAATATAAAATGTTATGTTAATGTAATGCCTTATTCACAGTGAATGACATTGAATGGTCTTTGCAGGGTCTTGTTATGGTTTTAAGGCTCATATTAGGAACTCATTGGGAAAATTATGGAAAACATTTTTCACATATCCAACATTTTTCAGTCAGGCCATCTGGACAGTTTATTTTTTTGTGTTGTGCTGAAACATTTCGCCTTCAATCTGGAAGGCTTCATCAGACTTGGACTTTGTTGTTTTCAACCAGTTTGACACGACTGTCAACAAGGAAGAGGACCCGCAATGGAGGAGGGGGCGTACCAAAGAAACCATCTTAGCACCAACAAAACTGGTTTGTTCCACTATTGGAGTAAGCTGTTGGGGGAAGAATCAGTTTTGTTGTGTGTTTCCTTGACTGATGAAGCCTTCCGGATCGAAGGCAAAACATTTCAGCACCAAAAGAGAAACTGTCCAGATGAACTGACTGAAAAATGTTGGATTGTATACCTGGATTATTGAGCATGGACTTTGTTCTTTTTCACATAGTTTGTCATGATGCCACAACTAAGCCATACTCTACTCTTGTAGGTAGAGTGCATACCATAGTCTTAATCCAATATTAAAATATTTCCTCTCATTTTTAGATCTTTTAGAGATTATTCCTTTATATTACCCTATTTTATTAATGTAAATATTGATGTTTGGTGTCTACGTATTGATTAGCATGTTGCATAAAGTGAACAATGATATCTTTTTTTCTTCTGCCTCCTAAAGCATTCATAGGTTTCTTAGTGCAAATTTGCACTTGACTGTTTGGATATTTGTTTTCCTGGTGGGAAGATGTGGCCAACTCAGCTGGTTAAAATGGTTACATGCTGTCTGAGCCTAAGAGGCACTTTCACAGTTTTAAACACATCTAGAACAAAGAGTTGAACTCAGTTATATTTAGACTGAGAAGGTCTCTTTTTTTTCTTCTTTATTTGTGAAAGTAAAAATATGTTTTCCCAGCAGTCAGTGGAGTTTGAACAAGGCAATAGCAGTGAGACATTCTTGAACTTATAACTGTTTTACCATACGACAATGTGCTTTAGATGTGTAAACACTAAATTTGTAATGGCATATGCAAAATATGTAATTAAGCAACTAAAGTTGTTAATGGTAGTTTTATTCCAATAGTTCAATCTTCATGTTTCTATAGGTACAGGTGTTCTTTTATACTCATCTGTTGTCTTAATTAACATACCTTGAATGTCTTTTTATGTCTACAGATTTCAGGAGTGGAGGTGTTTATATTCCTCCTTCAGTCCCGCTCAAATAGCCTGTATGACTACGAGAAGATTGTTGTCATGTGGGACTGTTGCTATTTGAACCATATGGTGCGCAGGACGTCACGTTTCCTTGGTAATCAGTAAAAAAGTATTTCAGTAACATGATTTCTTACAGTAGGCATTCTGCATGATGATATTATCTTTAAAGCATCGGTTGCACCTTGTGAGCACACTGCTGGTCATTTTGTTTGGAGCTTCTGAGCATGCATGCTTTTTTTTAATAGTGGGACTGAACAGACTGAACTGGTTCAACTAACATTTTTTTGCTTCTAGTTCTTTGTTTGACACAGTCACTATTGGAAAATCAGCTACTTCCCCAATAACAAAAATTCTACAAATCATCTCCTTCTGACAAGTCAATCCTCAGTTAATCACACCTTTTCTCTTTCTCTGTTCTCAGTCAGTGAGGTTAATAAATTGTTAAAAGTTCTAGATTCTAAAAAATTTGCAGGACTAGATGAACTCCCACCTTATTTCTTAAGGCTTGCCGCTCATATCATCACAGTCCCTGTGACCCACATCTTCAATCTCTCCATAAGCCAAAACTCCATCCCAGACGCTTGGACAACAGCCTTTGTTCTTCCTTTGCTGAATGGAGGTGACCCCCCACACTGAACAACTATCGGCCAATCTCTAAACTCTTCATTTTAGCCAAGGTTCTAGAAAAACTGATTAACTCTCAAATCAAAAAGTATTTGGACTCATTTAACATCTTAGCTCTTCATCAGTCTGGTTTCAGGAAACAACACAGCTGCTTCACTGAAGGTTCTTAATGACATCATTGAAGCATTGCATGGCACTTTTATTAGACCTGGCCAAAGATTTTGACACTGTGGATATTGTATATTGTGTCATAAGCTCTCTGAAATTGGTTTCTCAGATCATAGCATTGGTTGGTTCTCTAACTATCTTTCAGATCGGAGGCCATGTGTTCAACATAATTGTATTTCCTCCAGTTATTTAACAGTTAACAATGGTGTACCATAAGGCTCAGTCTTAGGACCCACCCTCATTACAATCTACATAGGTAACATAGGTCAGAGCATCCCTGATGCATCCTTACACTTCTACGCTGATGACACAGTTGTTTACTGTCGAGCTAAAACAGTTGATAAGGCTTTCCACCTTTTGCAATACGCTTTCAACATCATCCAGTCAGATTTGTTCCATTTCAAACTTGTCCTAAATGCTGACAAAACCAAAGGGATGCTTATTTCAAACAGGAAGTCGGTCCCAGCAGTTCTTCCTCTGATTTTATCCTCAAATGGTGTCCCGATTGAGTTTGTTGATTCCTATAAATATTTGGGTATCTTGGTCAACTCGCATCTCTCTTTTAAGCTCCATGTGGAAAATTTGGTTAAGAAACTGAAAGTTAAACTGGGTTTCTTTTTCAGAAACAAATCCTGTCTAACTCTGAATGCTAGGAAACGCCTTGTATCTGTGACCTTCCTTCCCTCCATTGACTATGGTGACATTATTTCCATGAACAAGCACCCTACAGATGTTGGATGCTGTCTATCATGGTGCATTAAGATTCATAACTGGCTGTGATTATCGTACCCATCATTGCACCCTGTATTCACTGGTTAACTGGACATCATTAACTTCACGCAGACTCTCCCACTGGTACATTTTCATCTTTAAATCACTTCTTGTTCTGTTGCCTTCAAACATCTCCTCCTACATGTCACTGTGTGAGTGCAGCTACAGCGTGCGCTCTCAGGACATTATTACATGCAGTGTTCCCTCAGTGAGGACTGAACTAGGCAAAAAAGTCTTCTCCTACTCTGCTCCTGTTTCCTGGAATATCTTGCAAAAAGATTTAAAGCTCTCGACCTTGACCCCTCAAAGTGGCTTTAAACATCTATTGAGTTCCTGGGAAAAACCAATGCAGACATGTTCTTCTTTTTAGTTTTCTACACCGCCTTGTAATCTAGCTGGGGGGGTTTTCTCGCTACATTTCCTTTTAATTATCCATATAATTATCTTTCTTTTTCAATTGTTAAAAAAAACAACTTAAATTTGTATGCATCGTTTGTGAATGTCTATTGTTGTCATTGTTGTCCACTGTTGTCATCACTCTAATTCCAGTCTCTCATGTAAATGAGTCCTTGTGGCTCAATGGGACTAACCTGTTTAAATAAATGCTGAATGAACTTGGGGTCATATTCTAACAATTTTACGCTAATGTGTGTGATTTTTTAATGACTTTTTAAAATCCTTTTGTAGTTAGATAATCTAATCTGTGGATGGTTTCTTTTTTGCACAGGGGTCTATGCGTTTGGATTGTTCACAACTGATGTTTTTGTCAGTGTCAGTCAGCTGGTCACAGGAAGTCTGGCTCCTTATTTCCTGTCTGTATGTCAGCTCAATTACACTGCAGTCGACTGCCTGGACAAGATGCACTTTGTCTGGCAATCAGATGCCTGTACAGGTGACCCTGATGACATCACAAGAGCCCGAAAATCATTTCCTTCCAAAGAGGCCGCTCTCAGCTTGTATACAGCTGCCTATTTGGCAGTGAGTGAAATTGTTGCAGTCCTATTTAGTGTTTCCTGTCCTAAACAAATTTAATTCATACTTTTGATTTTTGAAACAGTTGTTAATATATTATTTCCTTTCAGATGTACATCATGTCCTTCACCAGCTCCTTTAGGAGCCATCTCCTGGGCCCCTTTGTCACTCTGGCATTGATCAGTCTGGCTGTGCTAACAGGCATCAACAGAGTGGCTGAAAATCGTAACCACTGGAGAGACGTTATCGCTGGACAAGCCATTGGGGCTGGTATCGCCATCTTTTTGGTCAGTTGAAGTTCATTTGATAAAAGAAATAACACGGTTCATTAATTCAGTTAACTACTAAACAGCTAGTGTAGCTACTTAGTTAACCAGGATGTGGAAAATAAATAAATAAAATAGCACAACGTCACTAAATGTCTTAATGTTGTTAAACTGAAAGACGCAAATCAAAGTTTATGCTCAATTATCCAAGTAAAAAAAAAAAATCCATCAAAGTTAAGTCAGGTCCTCTGGACGTTTTTTTTTTTTTATTTGTTTCATCTTTCATCCAAAATACCATCAGTCCAAGGAGCCACAACAAAGTTGGTCCCATACGTGGCTTACTCACATAGTGGGCCAACCAGTTTGCTGGTGATAAGATGGTTTCTGGAGCCCACCCTCTCCCCCGTTGATTCCTTTGAGGCAGCCATAGCCAAAGTGGTTCAAAACATCAAAGTCCATGCTAAGTAATCCATGTAGAAAATCCAGCAAAGTTATGTCAGGTCCTCTGGTTGTCACAAATGGCTGGTGCTGGTGAACCCAGTGGTGCAGGCAGGCAGGCAGGCAAGGACTCAGGATGAATATATAAAATAAATAATTTATTTATTAACACAACAAGAGAGCTGACAGGGTAGCAAAACAAACATAGAATGATCAGGAGGTACTCCCGAAAGAGACAGGTCATCAACAGTGGACAGAACACATGCCAGGACAAGGAACGAGACAAACACACAGGCTTAAATACAGCAAACACCAATTACACAAAGTGAAGACACCTGTGAGTAATCACAGATGCCAAAGACAGAGACTGAAAACGCAAGACATAAACATGACACAAGATGAAGCTAAATACTAAGGTAACACAAACCCTATGAAGATAGAAACATAGGATGGGAAGAAAGCAAGACATGAGCACAACCCCAGGGGGCTAGACACCAGGGGACAAAAACCACAACTCCTACATTGGACAGTTTTTTTGTTGTTGTTGTTGTTGTTTTTCTGTTGAAACTTTTCATCTAACATCTAAAAGACATATACTTTTACCCTGCCTGTACCTTGCAGATGTTGGATGCTGTCAGCCATGGTGTGATAAGAATTATAACTGGTTGTAAATACCATACCCATCACTACACCCTGTATTCACTGGTTAACTGGTCATCATTAACTTCATGCAGACTCTCACACTGGTACATTTTCATCTTTAAATCACTTCTTGGTCTGTTGCCTTCATACATCTCCTCCTACATGTCACATAGTCAGTGCAACTACAACATGCTCTCTCAAGCCATCATTACCTGCAGCTTCCCCTCAGTGTGAATTCAATACAAAACAAAAATCAATGCAGACATGTTCCTATTTTTAGTATTTTACCTGGTTTTATAAGGCACCTTGATTTGATTTTGTTTTATAACACAATTTTTTGTGCATTTTATTGTTTGTTGTGTGTACCGTATCTGTGGTTTGTCTAAAGCAGGTCTCTCTTGAAAATGAGTCCTTGTGACTCAGTGAGACTAACCTGCATTAAGAAAAAGGTTGAATGAATACTTGTTTAACCAAGATTATAGCGAAGGTATTCCTCCGTTTTACATTTTTCACCTTCAAAACTCACAATGTTCTCTGCATGGAAGTGTCAGTTTCATGTTTTTGTAGTTTTTCATAAACATCTACAGAGTTCAGTGTTACACAAGATTATAACAAAATAAACGGTGTTTGCAATTTGTATATGCTAATCTGGTTTATATTTGGAACAATGACATAACTGATGTACAAATGTAATGCTTTTAATGATCATAACTTGCGTTTTTTGCATTGATTTTAACTACTCTGTTAATCACCATTGCTTCTGCTGTTTATCTACTTGTGCATGTGCAGAAAAATTATTGACTGTCTGTATATGCATGCACAATTTTACACCAACGCTAAGCATTTCTAAAAACCTCTTTCTCTGAGACCTGGAATCAAAATGATTTTGTGTCAAAGAAAACAGTTGTTGTTGTTGTTGTGTACATGAATAACCGAAAAGTAACAGCAAAGAGAAAATGTTACGGTTTGAAAACAGTGCTGTGTACACAGGGTCAGAGTCACACCCTCGTTGGGAAGCAAAACATTTTTCATGACAAAATTTGAAGTTTTTGTCGTTCTGCTTTTTTTTGCTCATCATGTTCAGCAGTGGTTCTTAGTTTTGCATTACTGGTAATGTTTGTGTGTCGGTGGTACCAAGAGGAGTAGATCAATCCAGCCAAGGTTATAAAGAGACACACCAGTGGTAGCTGTTGCATTATGGTATAAAAAGCCATTGAACATGACCTGTGGTGGTGATTCAGATGACCCTTTCACATGTCTTATCCCTTCTGAGACAGCACCCTGTGGCAGTCTGTTTACAAGACAAAGCCACTCCACACACAATAAGTCTATGAAGTCATGTTGAGGTCCTCCTGTGGTCACTCAGGTCCCCCAATCTTTATCTAATCAAGCATATGGAAGAACAGCTCAGATCTTAACTCTGACTCAGTGCAGCTTTATCAGATCAGCTTTAACAGAGAACTCAAGGACTTTTTCAGAAGCAGTCTAGCATTTTTCAGCAGTATATAATTATTTAATATTTCCAAATATATATAAACTCTGGTCTAATGGACAAAACTGCCTCAGGTTACATGCACACATACAGTCCCACAAGTGCATCAGACATGTTACTGGTTGGATGAACTTGAATGCTTCTTTTGTAAAACAGGTCACATGACACACTCTTGACAGGGACTAAAATCTGGGACAGAATTAATCGCAACAAAAAAAGAATGTTTGTTTTCCTTGGAGTTACAGTAAAGTACCTCAGTCCAACATACTTGGTGGAAGGTCACCTATTCTTTGTGTGCTAACCCACTTTCCTTCTGAACTATGCAGTTCATAAAAATAAAAATAAAAACTCCAACAGTGTATGTGCAGGGCTTAATTTGAGCCAGATCCCTCTGGACCAGGATCTGGAAACTCTTATTTTGACAGCGAGCGTTCTGTAACTATTTGCTTGGATCCGGTCATCCTCAGCCTTACTAATTATAAAGTTATGAACAAATATGACTGCCTTGAAAAAATAAAACTTATATTGGTTATGTAAACTGAAAATAATTACATAAACACTCATTTTAAACACAACAGCCACTTACGAGCTTCTTAATATCACAAACGAGCCGCCTCTTCAAGTAAGCATTTCTGCTTCTACTCTTAAAAAAATCTCTGCCCCTTAAAGTCCAAAGGCATCAAATTATAATTAAATAGCACAACAAAACTGAAAATCAGTTCAACAGTTTAAGTGAGTCATTAATAAAATTTTGATTATTTATTTATTTATTTTTTTAATCTCTTTTACCTTCTTTTATTCTGTGTTTTTAATTTTCACTGATTTATTGTGTCCTCTTTTTATTTTGTTTTATCTTGATCACCTTGGTCAATGCAAGGCGTTGCTGGAAGGTGCTATAGAAATAAAGTTTATTATTAATATTAAAAATACAACAAGATAAATGTTTGATGTGTATTATTCACATTACATATCAAAAGAACGGTGCCACTTTGTCTAAATAACAATTAAAATGTCGAAAAGACAGTCCACTTTACTTTCATTAAAAAAAGCTTCTTGTTGTCCTTAATTGGACAACTTAACATGATGTTTGATAAGAATGACCCCAAATGGCAGACCAAAAACA